GCGCGCGGAGCGCGCCGGGGGCGGCGCCGGAGGCGCCGCCAAGGGGCCCCCGGCGCCGATCCGAGAAATCCGCGCGCACCTCCGAGTTTTTATGTTTATGCCATTTTTTGTTCCCCTAATGCGGGACAGTAGGAGCTCGACCACAAGAAACCCAACCCTGAGACCCCAGGAGGTCCATGAGACCACAAGAAACCCAACCCTGAGACCACAAGAAACCCAACCCTGAGACCCCAGGAGGTCCATGAGACCACGAGAAGCCCAACCCTGAGACCACAAGAAACCCAACCCTGAGACCCCAGGAGGTCCATGAGACCACAAGAAACCCAACCCTGAGGCCACAAGAAACCCAACCCTGAGACCCCCCAAGCCTGAAACCCTGAGACCCCAAGAAACCCAGGTTCCCCTACTCCTGGCTTTCGGGAGCGGCAAAGAGGGGAGTGTCCAAGAGGGGGGGGGCAAATCATGACCGGCGGCATGTGCGCGGCCCAGCGGGGGGGCCAGGGACGTCATGAATTAAGAAGGGGCGCCATGAAATCTGGGGAAATATCATGGCCCCCGCCATGATATCCACCCCCCCCTAGTCATCACCCTCCTCTTTTCCGCTCCCGAGGCTTGCGCGGGCCGCCGACGTGGCAGGCTGCGTGCGGCAGCGCGGGCAGCTGCTGCGCGGGCAGCCTCTGCGCGCGGGCAGCTCCTGCGCAGCGGCTGCCCGCGCAGCGGCTATGCCCGCCGTGGCTCGGCGCTCCTCGCCGGCGGCCCCCGCGGGGGGGCCCGCCGGCGGGCGCCGGCGCGGGGCCGGCAATGGAAGGCTGCCCCCGGGAGAAGGCGCCAGGCCCAGAGAGAGCCTGTTGTTTTGGGATTCAGGCAAGTTTACTTGCATGGCGTTCGCTCCCCCCCCACCCCTCGCCCCTCTTCAAGCGAAGACTCGCGTGCAAGTGCCTTTCGACTTGCGTGATTTCCGCGCCCCCCCGAACGTGCAGGTCGTCTGCGGCTTGCTTCAGGCTCAGCCACCCCCCCCCCCCCCGTCCATGCAAGTAAACTTGCCGGACGGGCCCCAGAGAACAAACACATAATATATATATATATATATATATATATATATACATACATATATATATATATATAGATATACATTTAAAAAAAATCCCAGGCCCAGAGATCCAACGTGTTGACAAAAATCAAGGCGGAGTTTTTTTTTGCTATTTTCGGCCCCCGACGGCCCAGAAGCCGGCCCTCGGACGCTCGAGGGAGCGCCAGGAGGCCGCACGGAGGGTCCCACCAGAAGGCCCAGCCCGGAGACCCAACGTGTTGACGGTTTTCGCGGAGGTTTTCGCGGTTTTCGCGAAGGTTTTTCGCGGTTTTCGCGGTTTTCGGAGGTTTTTCGCGGAGGTTTTTCGCGGAGGTTTTTCGCGGTTTTCGACCTCCAGGGGCCCTCGCCGGGCCTCGGGACCGTCCAGAAACGGCTCGGGATAAAACACCGGTCCTGGGGAATGGGTCGAGACTTCCGGGGAGTCCGTATGGAGAGAAACACGACGTCGGATCTCTGGGGGAGCTCGGGGGACGCGGGCTGACAAAAACAGGTCGGAGGACGGCTTAGAGGGCATACACGTCGTTCATGACTTGTCAATGATCAATGCCTTGTGCCACTTGGTGCCCTCTTGGGGTGCTCTTGGAGGAAAGAGACATAGAGAGAAAAACGGGTGAGGGGTGAGGGGCGAGGGACAAACTAGATGCGCGCGCACCATCTGACATCCTACACGTCGTTCATTTCTAATCGTGCTCATTTCTAATTGTGCTCGTTTCTATTTGTTCCTGGCCCCCCAGTGGCCAGGAAGGGGCCCAGGATAGAACAGTTAGAAATGAAAGGATCTTGGCCCCCCAAAAAATCAAGGAACTTTCGAAGAACTAGACATGAACAATGTGTAGTAAACCACCCTCATCACCCCGACGAGCGAAGGCGTCGGTAAACGCACCCAAGGAGGGGGATCGCACAGGGCAGGACTGTTTCGTATAAACGCCCACTGCTGTTTTGTAAGCGCTGTTTGTGGGGGTCGGGGTGCTCACGTGTTCCTCCCTGGATGTCTGGAGGGGGGTCCTCGGGAGCCCCTCGCGCCTTCTGATCGAAGGCTGCCAGATGTGCCAGACGTGATGCCCCTCCGCTTCCCGCGCCACTCTGGGCCCCTCTTAGGGCCCTCGGTGCTTTTCTGAAGGGGCCAAAGGACACACAAATAAATACACACACATAAAACATATTCCCTATATTTTCCCATGTTTTCTGGGTTTCTGTCTTCCCCCCCCACTTCCCATATTTTCCCATATTTCCTGGGGGATCGAGGATTACTTGTGTCTGTGTGCTTCTTTTCCTCCTGATTCTCGTGGGAAGCAAAAGCTCGGTGCCCTCGCTGAGATCCGAACCCGCGACGAAAGCACAGCATCGTGACACGTCACAGCAGGGACCCTGGATCTGATCTTGCTGCTGCCGTTGGAGCCTGTTTTTTTA